TTTCGCATATGTCACATTGAAATCGAGATTTATCGAAATACGGAAGCCTTAATTTATTCGAGGACTTGTATCGATAACTCGAATCATGTTCTAGCATCATGGATACAAGCTTTGAGTAAATAATATATGTATTGGTTTTAGTACCACGCAGCCAGACTTGTATCGACTTTGAAGGAAGAAGTTATTTCTTCTGTTTTAAATCATCAGTACGCATTTGTTGTGTATTATACAATTATACGATATTCTTCAATACATTCAGATTTCAACATACTGTGCATATTTAGTGTTATTAACACGTATCGATCATCATGTCTATTTCGCGCAATGAAGACCTTTTAACGGAAGATGATGACAACCAAGAAAATGAAAGCTTAAATGACTTCAAACATCAGTGAGTTCAAAATTTCTTTTTCCTTGTTTTTTTAAATATATATATCGACGAGTAATTGCAAAGTGACATTTCGAGGACGTCCAAAATATAAAAATAGGACAATGAAAACATAAATCAGATGTTCGAAGGACGCGACCACGTATTGTATAGACTTCTATTAGTTTCTTTGTAGTTTGAAAAATGGCGCTCCAGGCTTTTTACTGGATCGAAAATGGTATCGTCCTAGTGCTCCCATATATTATTTCTCGAGAAATAAGCTGATTTTATTCGTTACCATTTTGACCTCAAAATGGCAACAAAAAGCGTTAATTTGTTGCTTAGGGTTATCTTTGTTGTTCATCGAATATAAATAAAAATAAAATAAGGACACAAAATAAAAGTAGTGTTTACTAGTGGAAAAAAGTATAGTGCTCGAGATTGCATTATTCTAAACATTGTACCACCCAGATCCTTAGTAATATGTTAATTTAAAAATTCTAGAACAAAATCTTATTTGGCTGTTCAGAAATGTGCATATGAGTACATCTATCCAAATAGCCAGACGTGCTAAAAGCACGCACTGCAAATTTATATGCTACATATTATATCAGAAAAAGTCGGGCAGCAGTCGAGCACGATCTGTCATTTCAATTAACATTAACAAAAATACAGCAAAATTTCTTCAGACAATGTGTCATAACATATTTAAAAAAATGTTACAAAAATTGAACACAGTAATTCAGCATAAATAGAACAAAATTCGAACATTTTTATATGCTGGCACAATATACAAACAGAAAATAAACCAAAGCTAAGTTTGACATGATGTCATATTAAATTTGCAAAATGTTCTTAGGAATCTAGCACATTTGCTATCACATTGTGAAAACGGTAACGCAGCAAGAATACCGCACGACTTATTATATAAATACTGAAAGTAAATCACGACATACATATTTTGAGTAGTCACATCGTGACGACAGGTCATGCTCGATTTTTACTGTGTTTTTGCTGTCAGTATTTTATATAATAAGTCATGCTATAACCTTGCGACGATAGTCGCAATATAACGATTTCGCTGTCACAATGTGACATCAGATGCTTGATTTCTGCTGTCTTTCCGCTATTAGTATTTGATATGGCATACTTTGCCCGATATTTGTGACGTATTTGTTGTCACGGTATCTCTAGCAAAGAACGCTCGATTTTTATTGCATTTCTACCGTCGTTCCATGTTGACAGATTATGCTGTTAGAAAGTAAGTTTAATAAGGAAGTAGAGCTTGATATTTACTGCAACGTCATGATCAAGAGTGCTTTCCAGCAAGGACACAGTCAGACACTGTGTAGCACAGTGAATCGTTCCCTGATGAAAATAAAAATCGGAGCGTAAATCGGATGTAATGGAAGAGCAATACGTCGTCTACAATATGCGAAGTAAGCTTAGTTTAAGAAGTAAGAAGTACTCTTACTTCTTAAGTAAGAATAATGCGAAGTAAGCTTGGTTTAAGAAGTAAAAGAAGTACTCTTGCTTCTTACTCACATGTATTGTAGACGACGCATAACACAAGCGTAAACCAAACTTCTAGAAGGCGAAAATTGGAACAATGAAATGTAAAACAAGCATTTACGCTCCCAGTGATAAATGGAAGCGACGTCAATTTGATGATTTCAACATCGAAGATATCGATTCGATGTCAATTCCATTATCATTTCTCACTGGGGATTGCATTCTTGCTGGACAGTACTCATTGGGCGCATTCAGTGGAATTGGTGTATTCTTTTGCTCATCCAATCAGAATTTTAGATCTAGAAGAATAGCAGCGAGCGCTCACTCAACTGTTGAGTTTACTGAATGCGCCTATTGACACCCGACGCAATCTGACACGGCCAAACTTAAGATCGAGCTAAGTTTCGCTAAGTGTCGTTCAGTGTTCGCTGTGTCTCTTTAAGTCATAAATAGAAAGCACCATTATGAATTCGTATGTACGGACAAAACCTTCGGTTGTAACAATTACTATTTTAAATCGTTTGTATTTCGTATGAAGAGTTTTGAAGTGCAAATAAAAAAGTTTGTGAGTCATTCTATTAATTATAATTAATCATTCTTTTTTGGACCTTGTACTTGACCGAAATAATTAACCGAATCTAAATTCAACAAAGTTTATACATGGAATCGTTTGTATTTCGTATGAAGAGTTATAAAGTACCATTAAAAACATTTGTGAGTCATCCAGACATTTTTAATTAAATATTAAAATATGTATTTGATCGAAATATAGATACAGGCGCTATGGTTACGGAAATTCCGTTTTTTAGTGGTATTTCATAACTCTTCATACGAAATACAAACGATTCCATGTATAAACTTTGTTGAATTTAGATCCGATTAATTATTTCGGTCAAGTACATGGTCCAAAAAAGAATGATTAATTGTACAATAATTAATAGAATGACTCACAAACCTTTTTATTTGCACTTTAAAACTCTTCATACGAAATACAAACGATTTAAAATAATAATTGTTACAACCCCGGAGGTTTTGTCCGATCATGTACATACGAATCCATTATGAACACTGTGTTACACAGTGTTGCCTGTGTCTCTTGTTGGAAAACACCCCAAGTTTGCTGGCGTACTGCTGGGGTACTGCTAGCATTTTGCTATCTGGGTACTTATTTTCCTTTCATTATGGTGTTTCCCAAACGCAGCTCTGGGTAAATGAAGGAACAATAATGAAAGTGGAAATTTTTATTATTGAAAATTTAACAGTAACCGAATCACAACCAAAATATTATAAAAATATAGATTAAAAAATCTTTGATCTGGGTTTTCGTACTGCTTACGTTTTTCCGTGTGTTATAGCTATTGTTCTTTTTAAATTCGTTTTCGATCGATTTCCGACTTTTCAGATAAAATTATGAAAATTATTACTTATGGCTTTTTACGCGATGCGAGAGAATATATTAATTATTTTCCTAGTTAATTACTTAATTGTATTTATGACAATATATATTCAATAACTGCTTATTTTTTTATTATCTTTGTCCAAGACTTGCAGTGCAATCGTGCACCCACTATAACCATGGATATGGCTATATAAATCCCAAGCATCAACCAGAAAAAGTGAATTTCATGTTCAATAAAAAAATAAAGTTTCTCATTGTGAATACCCATGGTGCATATGAAGTTTTTTTAGGTACAGAAGACGGAGAGGTATATTAGGAATTTATATATCATGATAAAAATATTTAACATTTCATATGAAAATGTTGTAATGATTCTTTGTTGAATACTTTTTTGATGTTTAGAAATTAAATTATACAGTAGAGCGTAAAGTGTATAAAATATGAAAAAAGATTTTAATTTTTTTATCTCTTAATAAAAAAAATATATAGAAATAAGAAAATTAGATTGTTTTAGAATTAAGATAAACTTCATCTTTATTAAAATGTCTCTATTAAAAGAAAATAATAGAAATTAGAACATGTGTTTTTCATACATAGATTCTCAATAAACAATCAAATAATCAAATAAAGAATGAATGAATATATTTAATATATTTATAACATTACCATATGTTAACATATTAATTATATTCAGTATTTTGATTTTTTTGTATATTTACAACATCATGTTAAATTTTTTATCATGTGCGTAACATTTCACAATGATATAAGACGTGATGTAATATTTTACAAAGATATAAAACGTTAAAATTTTTTTACATTTACCAATATATTCAATATTTCATAGAATTGATAATTTTATAAGTTTCTTAAATACTCAACTATCTACTAATCTTTAGATGATGTATGTAACATATTTAAATTACATTTATAAATTACATTTATATGTTACATTATTTTATTTTATAATAAAAATATAATGTAACTAAATCCATTGAATCTATGTTATAGATAGTGTGCTTCATTTAAATTGGAAATCTTGAATATTTTAATTATTTTTGAGGATACAAGAAAATGTTTCGGATGAAAGTGAAACGATTTTGAGAGGGACGTATTTTTTGGTTACGTTGTTTTTTTCTAAGTGGAAGCGCAAAAAATAATATGATGATGAATTCTATTTTTTTTAGATGAGATTATATGACTTTTTTTACATAATATAACTAATCAGATTATAGTATTTCTTAAATATTAATGTAGAAATATAAAAATAGCCTACAAAATATTTTATAATTTATTCTGACACATATTGACATAAAATAAATAAAAATTTGTTAAAGTAATATTTTTTTATAAACATACCTTAATATTTTTATGAACAGAATACAGAAATTATGTTATATAAACAAAATCATGTAATTCCATTTTTAAAAAGATAGAATTGATTTTTATCCTTTTGAAGTCTCTATCTAGAAAAAAAACAGTGACCAAAATACGTCTCTCGAAACCGTTCCCACTCTTTCATTTCCTGAAATATTTTTTTGTATTATCAAAAATGTTCAAGGTTTCCAATTTAAGTGGATCAACCTGTATATTTAATCTAATTGAATAAAATGCATTATCTTATTATTTTTTTAAAAGGAATATGTATGGAATGATCCGATTTTAAATACTGTAATCAACTATGATGCTGAATTTTATCTCAATTGGAATACACGAAATATCATGGAAGCATTTAAAGGCACTTCAAATTATATACAATATATTCCTCATAAGGTTGATTGGAGCAACACAAGGATTGTAAAAACTACAACTAACAAGAATAATTTTCTCATTTTAACTGATGATGGCAAAGTAAAGTGATAATAACGATATTACGATAATTATTAACCTTACGGATTTTATTTAGATGTATTATGGTTATTTAATTTTTTTAGATATACTACAAAAGCATCTACGGAGACTTAGGCACACGTGGTATATATCAAATGGATATCAAAGAGAAGATTAAATCCATCGGTTGTGGAAGTGATTTTTATTTGATAGTTACCAATAATGATAAAACGTACAGTTGGGGTCTAAATAAAATCGATGACTTGGGAATGCCTAGACAATTGTGTTTCCAAAAAGAGTTATGTGAAGTGACCACACTTTCAGGCAAAACAATTGGTAATTTTTTTCAAAATATATTCCTAAAGATGTAAATATACGAATATATTGAGAATTTAGATTACTTGACAATGCTGCAAGCATTGTAGAGTAACCTACTATCTCTAATCTTAATGTTTAGTCAAGATAGCCTGTGGAACGGATCATACACTCGCTCTGACTGATAAAGGGAAAGTCTACGGCTGGGGTTCAAATAGCGACGGACAATCGAATCTTACTAGCAGAGATTGCGTTCCTTATCCTACAATGGTGAATAATTTGCTACTGTAACTAATTATGAAATAGCAAACAGAAAGGCATAAAATAAATCTAACACTTTGCGATTAATAGATAAATATACCTAGCGTAAAAAAAATATTGGATATCGCCGCTATGCACAATAGAAGCTTTATCAAGTCCAACGAGAATGGACTTGTCTATATGTGGGGTCATTTTGCTAATGTATCAATTAAAAAACCTTTTGTTTGCGAATATACCAATGTATTTGACGTATTCAACTCGATGACAGCACAATCATCAATGTCTGTGGTACACGAATTCACCAAAGAGGAATGCGACATATTAAATGATTTGGAAGCTGCATTCAACGATCGAGTTAGTCTTTACTCTGTGTGTCTATTTGTTCCTCAATTTCAGTATTTCCAATTATCATAAGGATTACAGTACAATTTGTTTTTACAATTTAGATTTGAATCCCTAAAAGATGTCAAAGAATTTTCAACTGATGATGCTAAAAATCGCAAGAAAGTCATTAGTTGAAAATACTTACATATCAGAATGGATTATTGACTGTTATAATTCTATTTTGTCTCCTGGATAAATTCACAGCATGTTTTTCAATAATAAACTCCTTCGTTTTGTAATTTATTATGACAACTATCTTTCTTTTTATTATACTATATATATATTTTCATTGCGTAACAAAAGGAAAGATTTGGTGATATAATGTACATGATATATGCATTTAATAATTCTTATTTCTTTCTTTAAAGTCAACAAGTGATCTTACAATATTGGTCGAGGGCCAATCAATTTATGTCCACAAGAGAATTTTGAAGATGCGTTGTACATATTTTAGAAACATGTTTCAAACTGATTACATTGAAAACAATCAAAGGTACACATTTGCAAAAAAAAATGTATATTTTCACAAGTCTTTAAAGACTCGATTGACTTATATTATTTTAACATATTTTTTCTGACAGCATCATCAATCATCGTCACTATTCATATGTCGTGTACGAAAGCTTTTTAAAATATTTGTACACCGGTAAAATCAATCTATCATCAATAGATGACCTATTAGGTGAGTTTAAATCAAATATACCGCGGATTACAACGTTATCTACAATTCGCGACAAAAATATCCTTTTGTTGCAGATCTTTTGAAATTAGCTGACGAAGTCTGCGAAAAACATCTGGAGATGGATTGTATACGAACAATAAAAAAAACAATTACTGTGTCAAATATCGCATGTCTTATTAATCTTCTTAACGAAATGGCAGAACATCATAAGAAGGTAACTGATAGTATCAGTTTTCTTTTTTCTATTGTGAATGTTTTTTGTTTTTTAATATGGAAATACATGAAAGTGCCCCCTCTGATTTTGATAAGCCTTTAATGTTTTGTGAATAAAAAGAAGGGAAACGTACTTCTTTATATATACGTGCCTAATCGTACTTTTAGGGAATGAAATGACTTGTTAGGAAAAAAAATGGTGTTGTGTTTCGAATTGAATATTGTTGAAACTATAAGAGGTATAAAAAAAGAAAAAATAAATAGAAAAAGTTTTAAATAATAGTTGAATAATTTCAAGAGCATTTAATAATTATAATTTAGAAAAATTTTTTAATTTCGTTTAATGTTTATAAATAAAAGTTGTTTATTTAAACAAATTTTTTAAAATTATTAATACGAAGTACTTTCAAAACTTTTAAACTTTTATTTCAAACATTTTTTTCTGTCTCTCATAGTTTTAACTTTGAAAGACAACAACTGATTTTCTTCAAAGAGGTATTTTATTTCTTAAAAGTGCGATTGGGTATCAATAAAAAATACATGTTTCTTATTTTGGTCTATAAAACAACATACTAAAAGCTCTTAAAAGTCGGAGAGAGACATTTCATGTGTTTCCTTGTAAGACAAAAGTATTGCAGAATTTATTCTCCTCTTTTTTGTCAGCTTAATAGATGTAAATATATCTTTCTATTACATGTTTATTTATTTATTTATATATATGACGTTTATTCTTTAGGAATTGGAGGAATATTGCTTCAAGTTCTATTTAAAAAACATGACGGATGTGATGCGGACCGGAAGTTTCAAACAACTTGATGACGAAACAAAAGCT